GCAGAGAATTCCCCAATTTAAGGATTTCATTTTCAGAACTACCAACTGTGCTGTCCTGTGTCCATCCCTTCACACTCTTATCTTCTCAAGTTTTGCATGCAGGTCACAGAATTTATTTTTCCAGGTAGAGCTTTCTTGAATTCTAACAGCTCCTTTCCAGATTTCTAAAATCTAACCACTGAAAGCAGGAAAGATCAAGTTCTTCAAATTTAGCTTTATCCGGAAGAGTAAGAAAACATAGGGTTGTTTCCATCTTACGGAACTGTAGAAGTCTGACCCTGAAATTCTTTCCAGCTGAGACACTAGAAAATTCCTTGTAGATTTCCCAGTGGCATGCAGGATGGTCTGCGTATGCTGTTGAATTTTCTAATCTAATTTTCGATTTAGAAAATATTTCAGCTATCCACTTTCAAGATCTCTTTCAAAAACCTGCTGTTTTCTCATTAAGTGTTTTGATATCATAAAGCATCCTTTCTGTTGTTTTTCCAAAACCTTGTAGTTTTTTGTTCAGTACATTGAAGTATTGGGTAAAATCTGTAAAAAAACCAAACAAAACATGAGATTATTAAGCCAGGACACATCTGTGAGCTGTGGATATTCCTTCCCTTTTCATTCATAAACAGCCTAATTTCATCCAAACAGCTACAAATCTCTCCAAGACATCCTCTTCTCAGCCACCAGACATTATTGTACTTAGTAAAGTATTATACTGTGTGTGCCTTAACCTCATCAAGAAGTGCATGAAACTGTCAAAAATTAAGAGCACAAGCTATGATATAATTCACCATTTTTGTGACATCTTTGAAGACGTCGTCTAATTTTTTGCTGCTTTTCCTGGCACAAAGAATGTTGTGTAATAGAGAGAAACTGAATGCTTTTTTAACAAAGAACTGCGTGAAAATAGATATTGCCCCACCATGAATGATGCCCCATCGCTAGTAATTGAAACCACTTTGTCTGATCTAAGTCTTGTGACAGAAAGGCCACCATCACAGCAGTATAAATATCTATCCTTTGTGTTCTTCCGGGCAAAGATACCAGTTTCACCAGTTTTTCTCTCATGATATCATTAGCAGCATAACACAAAATCACAGCTAGCCTTGTATGATTATATCTGTGCTTTCATACAATCACATGGAGTAACAACTGGCTGCCTTTTGTAAGTCAGTGGTGAACTGCTGACTGGTATCACTTGCCATGTGCAGGTTTCTTTAACAGTATTTCTGCTAAGTGGCAGCTCTATTGCATAATTTTATCCTTGTTTGGGAAATCATGATGAAGAGAATTATTCCCAGACAACATGGCCATTTTGATAAAATCACCATCAGAGAGGAGCTATTATGTTTTGCTATGCACAGTGAAATTTGATATCTGGCAGCTTTCAAATGATTTGTTTTAGAAAGATAGTTGTAAAAATTAGCTGGGTGTAGTGGTGCACGCCTGTGATCCTGGCACTCAGGAGGCTGAGGCAGGAGGATTGAGGCCATCCTGGGCTACATAATAAGTTCAATGCCAGTCTGAACTATGAGCAAGACCCTGTCTCAAAAAACAAAACAAAATGCAAAACAAAAACTAAAATAGTGGTAATAATATTTCCTTAATTTTCCTTCAAGAAACTTTTCTTTCAGCTTCACCAAGTTCAACACTTTTGTAGTTAGTGTCAAAGTGCTGTCTGACACTTGATGTGTGACACACAACACCTTCACTGCATGGAATACATAACACTTTCCTGTTGCAGTCAGTCACTCCAAATGACTCTGGCCAGGCCTCTTGGAATGATCTCCTACTGTTTGTTTTCAGTTTGCTTTTTTTTTTTTTTCCTGTAGTCATTTTTTAGTTCAAGACTTGGAGTCTACAAAAACACAAAATTTTTAAACAGTGAAACAATCAATACGAATCTATCCACATATCAGTTAGTGTAAAGAATTGGATATTCCCTGAATCAACAGTTGATGGCAGTGATTCTCAGCTGAGGTTCCTCTTGCATTTGATGACCACTGGGGTACCGCCATCTTTTGGCTTGCTCTGAAAAAGGCATCTGAGCATATTTTCTACCTTGTGGGGGCTTCTGCAAAAATCACAGCTAGTCTAAGCAAATCACAGCCAGTCTATGCTCACTCTTATTTTTGTAAATTCTTCACAATGAAATATGATGCTGCATATCCAAATATGCCAAGGGAACAGTACAACATTAAAAGAATCTCAGTTTCTAATTAAAACACCTCGCTAAGGGCTGGGGATTTGGCTTATATATATAAAACACCAAATGTGTGTGTGTGTGTGTATAAATCTCCTTGGTAGCGCACTGACCAGCCATGTGAAGGCTCAGATTAATAAATTGTGGCTATGACTTCGTCATCTGGCACCACTACTCCTTTCCAAGCATGCACACGGCCCCTGTGTGCACTGTTATCTGATGCTCAGCTACTTGAGTGATGCTGGGGTGTTGGATATATAAAACACCAAATGTGTGTGTGTGTGTGTATAAATCTCCTTGGTAGCGCACTGACCAGCCATGTGAAGGCTCAGATTAATAAATTGTGGCTATGACTTCGTCATCTGGCACCACTACTCCTTTCCAAGCATGCACACGGCCCCTGTGTGCACTGTTATCTGATGCTCAGCTACTTGAGTGATGCTGGGGTGTTGGCTGGTATGCTGGCAGACAGGGCTCTGTATGCCTGCTGTAGCACACATGCTGTAGGTTCACTACCACTGACTTAGTTCCATCCCAGCCTTTTTTTTTTTTTTGGCACCTGGGATCAAACTCAGGACCTTGCACTTGTCAGGTAGATGCTGTGCTGCTCAGCTAAATCCCAGGCCCTGGTTTGAACTTTTGATCATCCTTCCTTGGCCTCCCAGGTGCCAGGATCACACATGTGACCATGCCGAGCTCACAAATGTATATACATATAAATATATATATTAACATAAATATGCATGAACATGTGCAAATGCATATATATATATATATAATATACCATACAGTCTCATACATTTGTCACGATCATCATTATCTTAGAGTAAGCATACTTATATACTTATTCAGATTATCACATAATTTTATAATAGTATCCTTTTGCTTTCTATGTTTTTATTTGATGCTTATTAATACTAACTTTGATTCTTGTTTTAAATTTTGTTTGTGCTAGCTGCTATAAGCCAGTTATCTGAACTGCAGTGGCTTAAAATGACAGGAAATATTGTTTTATAATTCTGGAGTTGAGAAGTCCAGAATTAGTCTCATTAAATCAAAATCAAGGTGTCAGTAAGGCCATGATCCCTCCATAGGTTTTATAGGAAAATTTATTTTTTTACTTTTCCACCTTTTCGTGTCTCCTAATATTCCTTCACTTATGGCCACAACATATCAATTTCTGCCTGCAACTTCACATCACCTTCTCTTTCTGTATGTTCAATCTCTCTCTGTCTCTTCTTACAAGGGCATTTATTTTCTATCTGGATAATCCAGTATTTTTGCTTCATCTCAATTTCCTTAAATTAGCTACATCTGCAAAGCTTCTTTTTCCTTATAAAGTAATGTTTATAAATCTAGGGATTAGGACCTAGTGTCTTTGGCCACTTTTCAGCCTGTTATAGTCTTCATTACCAGGTCCTTTACAAAATTAAGATTTGGTGAACTCTTAGTGGCAACAAAAGAGAAACAGCAGAAACATAATATATTTTCTGATTGCTGGACCAGCTGAAATATCCTTGACTATAATCAATCTGACTCTAAAGTTAGGACTCCATGGGAAATGGAGATACTGAACCCCCATTTTAAATTTGTTATAGTGAAGCTTTTGAATCCTTATTCATGTGATGTGGGGGCAATAACACCTACTGTGTTTGGCAGTTAAAAGCAGGTACATTCGAGGCTCTGTTTTTCTTTTTATAGCTTCTGTTGTTCATATATCTCCTTTTACATTGTGAGTAACTCTGTTTTAATCCCTTTACTCTGCACCTAACCAAATCTAGATGTCTTCCTCTTGGTAGAATGGAGTAATGTCGAAACTTTTCTCTGGCTAGAAGTATAGATCTCTAAAAGCAAGGACCAGCCAAATGGAATACTGTGAAAAAACATGGTGGTGAGAAGCTTTTGTCTTTAATCCCCAGCTTGTTATTAAATCACAAAGTACTTTTTAGTTATATCTGTAAGTTGTAGCCATATTCCCCTTAAAGGAAAATTGATATTAAAAATTTCAACAAGTAGAAGTGGCTCTGGATTTTTAATTTCTCTAAGTAGTATGGAAATATGCTTATTTTCTGCCAGATGCAGTGCTTATCCTAAAAAATGGTACGTGGTTCATTTCTTTCTTTTCCCCAAAGCAGACATAAATTGCAGAATCAAGAGATATAAAATAGGCTGTGCTACTCTAAATAACAAATTAGAATAAGTCATTATTGAAGTTACTAGATAGAGATAAAGAATAAACAATGTTTATTAATGTTTGTGTTCTAAGTTAATTTAGGAAGGATTCCTGAAGGAGGGAATATCTGAGAAAAGACTTTAACTGTAGTTTTCAAATTTGGGGGTTGAAGAGATTCATGTTAATGGGAAAAAGAGAAGTTTGAGGGGAACTTGAAAGAATTTTCTTGCAAAGAATGATGAAAGCCATTAGATATGCAAAGACCAGTTGAAGAAATGACTATTGAATAGATGGGTAGAACATAAGGAATGTGACTGTACAATAATTTCAAGTGTATTAATTCAAACTTTAAGCTCTCTGTATACTTAATATTAACTATACATTATTTTAAAAGTTGATTTAACAGTCCTTAAATCAAGTTTTGAAGTTGTCAAGTTATTATCTTAGAATAACTATAATCATTTTATTAAACACTATCAGCAGATCAAAGTTTTCTTTGCAGGTAATCCTCTTATCTTAGGTCTGGCATTTTTTTATGATAGGGATCTGTTTTCCTGTTGGAACACTTAGTGCATTTTGTATTAAGACTTTAACCTGTTTTATTTGCTGTTTTTCCCCTTTTACTGGTAGCTTAGTCAGACCATGAAACTGGCACGTCATCGATTGGCATCCTTTAAAACTGTGAGTGAAAAAATGGCATCAGTGTTTCCAAATGGTAAAAGGAAAACCTCTCTCACCCAAGAGGTAAATTAATTTCTAATACACTATTTGTAAAGGTACAGGTAAAACAGATAAACTTTAGTTGGGCAAAGTCTGTAATTTCACATTTTATTTTAGTAATTTGTTTGTCCACCATATCATTTGAGATTATTTTAAGAATTACGTGGAAAACCTAGAGTGTTGCTTTTACCTAACATTCTGTATTTGGTATTTATGTTTTCTTTTAGAAAGTAAAATTCAAAAACCCATTATTTGTTGTGATGGAAGAGAAAGAACAAAATCAGTGGCATTATCAGGATCTTCAGAATATTCTGCCAGAAGCGCAGGGTGATTTGATAGAAGTCCAGAATGTTGAGTCTGAAGCTCAGAGTGTTGAGCCAGATACCCAGGCTATTAAGCTGGCAGTTCAGTCTGCTGAGCCAGAAAGCCAGGCCGCTGAACCAGAAGGCCAGGTCATTAAGACAAAAACTCAGAGCATTATGTTAAAAACCTATAGTTTCAAGCTAGAAGATGGAAATACTGAGTTGGACGTTCAGAATTTTCTACCCCCAAGTCAGGTCTTTCTACCAAAAGACCAGAGTATTCTACCCAAAGACAACTGTGTTTTCCCCAAAAGCCAGAATACTCTACACAACTGTCAGGACCAGGAGTTTCTACTTAGAAACCAGGATGTTTACCCCCCAAAACAGGATATTCTACTCAAATGTCAAGATGAGGATTTTCTACCTGAAGACTGGGATTTTCTTCATAGAGACCAGTGTGTCCTTCCCAGAGACCAAAATATTCTACCCAAATGCCAAGATCAAGACTTTCTACCTGCACACCAGGGTTTTGTACCCAGAGACCAGTATGTTCTTCCCCAAAACCGGAATGTTCTACCCAAATGTCAGGACCAAGACTTTCTACCTGAAGACCAGGATTTTCTACCCAGAGACCAATGTGTTCTTCCCCAAAATGAGGATATTCTACCTAAATGTCAGGACCAAGATTTTCTACCAAAAGGTCAAGAATTTATCTCCAAAGATCACTGTATAATACCCAACTGTCAAGACCAGAATTTTCTTCCCAAAGACCAGAGTGTTCTTCCTAAAGACCAGAATATTCTATACAAATGCCAGAAGCAGAATTTCCCACCTATAGATCAGGTAAAATAGACTAGAAAAGAGATGTTAGAAGAAGAAATGAGGAGCTACTGAGGGTTAGCTACTTAGAGATACTTGGACTGGGATTTGCAAGGATTATATTATAGCCGGGCATGGTGGCGCATGCCTGTAATCCCAGCACTCGGGTGGCTGAGGCTGGAGGATCGCTGTGAGTTTGAGACCAGCCTGGGCTACATAGTGAGTTCCAGGTCAGTCTCGACTACATAGTGAGACCCTGTCTCAAAAAAAAACAACAAAAAAAACTCAACAAGGATTATATTATAGCTGATTTAGAGATCCATGGTTAGAAAATAATTTCCTGATTGGTTTCTCAAAATGGCATAGTTTATACTAAGTGTTAAAGTATTAGCAGCCGCTTATTTCCAATCTGGACAATTTATTTACTTACTTACTTTTGAAAAATATTCTTCATTAGAGAAACTATTTCTGTCAGCCATCTGCTTTGACAGCTAAAAGATGGAAAAAGGAGTGGCCCACAGGTACCCAACAGCATCTTTTACACAGGTTCTAAGGCCAGCCTTCCACCAGAGATCAGTTAGAGTAAAAGGAAGAAGGGGATCAACAGGAAGTAAGTTACTTAGGGTGTGGCTGGTCAGAGATGCCCTTTATACTCTGACCTCAGGTTAACTCCAGATTTTTCTCTGAAGCCTGAAGTTTTAAGTTAATTTATCATTCTTAAGTGAGTGATTAATTTTTTGTGTTTCTATTTTTAGGAAGCAACTTTGAAGCCACCAGCACCAATTATGAGAATCAGACAAGGGAAAGAGGAGCTTCCTCTGAATGTCCATCAGGATCTATGTAGGCATGATCAGGCCTCCACCAGGGACAAGGTAAAACAGAAAAGGGGAATGGAGACCCACAAGAGTGGAACTATTGAGGGTTGAGTTTTGAGTTTAAAAAGATTGTTAAACTAAACTTCAGAACTGACAAAAAGCATGGTTTCTGTTTTATTCCATAATATTTCATATTTCCCTGAGTTAAATTACCCTAAGGTTATCTACAAAGCCTATATTACTGCTATGATAGCACTGCTTCTGGATACTGTTTAGTGTGCATGTGTGTCTATGTGTGTATATGTGTTTCTTTTCCTTTTGAAAGTCCACTTTAAAAAGCACCCATTCTCTGATATGAGAGACAATAAAGGGAAAGAAGACTTTGTCTGGCAGGTTATCATTATCTGTTTCCCAAACCCCATTCCAGAACTTCATCAGAGAGCATGTAGAACAGAATAAAAACAGATAAAGAAATGGGAAATAAAATAGCTAGGTTTTATAAATTCTGAACGACTGGTAATTTGAAATATAGCATTAGGAACTTTGAGGCTATGCTAAAAGTATATCTTTGATTCCTTCCCATATTAGTACGATCATAGTCCTACATATTAGAACAGTGCTCTTCAGGAAGGATGTACAGAGAGTTAAGCTCCAATCAACTGAGTTCCTACTGGTCTTCTCTTTTTTTCTCATCTAGCCCATAATTAATGATATAAAAGACCTTGTTCTACTGAACTATAAAAATGATGATATCAGTTCTGCCATTCAACAGGCTGATATAACAGACTATTTTAATTTACTGTGCTTATTCTCCAACTCTTAATGAATCCCACGGTATTATCACAAGCACACTGACCCTTCATGAAGAAGTGACGAAGATGTAGCAGTGGGGGCTCACACCTGTAATTTCAGCACTCTAAGAGGCTAAGGCAGGATTCCAATTTTGAATGTAGCCTGGGAAACTTAGTGACTTAGAACATGTCTCAAAAATAAAAGTAAAAATAAGACTGAGAATGTAATTGAGTGTGAAGGCCCAGGGTTCAGTCCCCAGTACTGGGAGGTAAAAAAATACTAGGTTAGTTTCTCACTCTTCTGCCTATGATTTGGGATTCAGGATTAAACGCTGCAGAATTGCGTTAAAAGTATACTATCTTTACTCGTCTAAAAACTTGTAAGAGTATTCTTACCTAGTATCCTCGCTGAAGCCTGCAAAATTTAGCATATTACCCTGGTAAGGTTTTTTTTTTTTTTTTTTCTTCTTTTTTCTGTTTTCGTTGTTCCTTTAGAACAGGTTTCTCCATCAAACCTCATCTTTTATTACAGAAGAAAGGGTAAGAGAGGGGTTGCCTCTGGAGTATCATCGATATGTTCCACCTAAGATCGAGGACTAATCCTCCTCTAGAGAACAGGTAGAGCAGCATAGAGAAAGTGTGATAAAAAATATGGTGAATGTTCACATTTTTAAAAAATTATTACAGGAAAAGACACATACCTAGTTAGCTCCCTCAAAATATTACCCCTTGCTTGGGACACATTTTTCCCATCATTCTTACCATTCTTTTTTTTGGTTTATTGAGACAGGGTCTCACTATGTAGCTGAGACTGACCTGCAACTCTCTATGTAGCCCAGGATGGTCTTAAACTCACAGCGATCCTCCTGCCTCAGCCTCCCAAGTGCTGGGATTACAGGCGTGCACCACCACACCTGGCCATTCTTACCACTTTCTGAAGGTGCTCTTAAAGTTCTCTTTCAGGAGCGTCTTTAGTTTTGCTATTATGGCTGCTTTGATATTCTGATGCAATTAAAAGTCTTTCTCTTTTATGTTCATTTTGACTTTGGAGAAGAGCCAGAGGTTGTACAGTGCTGGTCTGGTGAATAAGGTGGGTGAGGACACACTGTGATATTTTTATTTGACAGAAATTGCTGTAAATGTTCGACAAATGCAGGGTGTTCAAAATATATGGTGAATGTTTACATTAAAGAATTTATTATGGTGAAAGACACATTGCCATGTGTCTTCAAAGTACTTCAAACACACCCTATTCTTGGCAATATATCCTTTCAAACACACCCTATTCTTGGCAATATATCCTTTACTGTAATAAATTTTTAAAATAAATTTAAACATTCATGATATCTTTTGATCACCCCTTATATTTCTAAATGAGAAACAAGACTAATTACCTAAGATTAGACTGAAATTTGTCAAGCTAGCTTGTGTGTGGATTACATAGATTTAAGACCTCCAGAATTAGGCTAAGACTAAAATGTCTTTAATTATATCAAAATGTGCCAGAATCTCTAATTTGCTTTAAAATTGTCCTGGAAAAGTTGGAGAAGAGATGAAAAGGCAAAATATTGCTAATCATTCAAATTGAGTGATGCTGACCTTGGGCTTCATCATATTTTTTTTCCACTTCGATGTATGTTTTGAAATGTTCATGTTACACACAGTTACACACACACACATACACACCGGCATGTATATGCCTAGCTATTCTGTTATCCTTATCTGGTGTCAGTATTCTGGGATTGTCACAGAAGTCTGTTAGCTCTATTTCTGTTTAGGCAATCAGTCTTGTATTTTGTTATCTTTTAAAATTAGTATATCAAACAGCCTTCATATTTGGAGATATGGGAGACTCGGGAAAGAGTTGCTTCTGGAGAGCCATCTGTGGTTTGCCCAGTATTTCAGACCTAATTGTTCCCAGACAATAAGAAAAACAAAATCTACTGCAGAGTAGGTAGCAGAGAGTAAAGTATTTAAGTTTTGGCTCAAGATCAAGGCCATGTAGGACTGCTGCAGGGGATTAAGTGTTAAGGTCAGTAGTAATGGGCAAGGAAGGTAATGGTCGTGCTCTGGCTGTATCACACCACTCTGATCGATTGAAACCACTTTAGGCCTCTTCACTGAAGCTTTTCCTGTTGCCACAGGAATATATTCCTACTTGGATAACTTAACGCAGTTTATGTTGTCTTTCAGCCCAGGAGCTATGGCTAGGTATCACATGGTTTGACAGATGAGAAATGGAGAAAGAACTTATTTCCAGAGTGCTCTAGATATGTTTTACATGAAATTCAGGATTCTGGTTCTGCCAGAGAGTGGGTAGACCACAGTGTAGTAAAGAGTAAGCAGCAGAAAGTAAATTTGTGAGTTTGAGCTGGGCTTTCAGAGCTATGTTACTAACAAAGATGATGATGGCAGTGTTATCTCTTACTACTATTAGCAGTATTGTTATTATAAATAACAGTTTGTTTTCTCTTTTTTTTTGTTCCGGGGATTGAACTCAGGACCTTGTGCTTGCAAGGCAGGGGGCCGCACCACTGAGCTAAAGCTCCAGCCCAATAACAGCTAGTTTTCACTGGCACTTACATAGCCATGATGGTTTTAGGAGTTTGTATCACTATCTCATTTAATTCTTGCAGTTACTCTGGGAGATAGATACTAGTATCCTCGTTTTTTACATGAAATTTGAGATTGCTTTTTGGGTAAAATTAAGATTCATAACAGTGGCAAAAAGTATATTGGTTACTTTTATACTATAGCAGAATATTCTGACCTATTTAGATAACTTCATGGTCATAACTAAAGCCTACAGCATTATCACTACTGTTATGTCAGTGATCACACAATTTGATAAGTGCTGTCGACCCTGGTACTTTGTTCTCCCTTTGCATTCAAAAATAATGCAGGTTTACTGGAGAAAACATTTTACTAGTGTAAATTAATACTGTATTTATATTTAGAATTCCTGATACTGTATAGTATTTTTCTTATTTGTTTTTGCCAGTAACCTGTATAGTACCCCACACAAATTATTCTAAACCTTAAACACTCCTTAAACTTCTTGCTGCACCCATACTGTCAGACCTTCATAAAGAAAATAGAAGTCATCACAACTGCCCCAACCATATACTGTTTTTTTTTTTTGTTCCCATTCTAACCTGTTCTTCTTAGCTCAGAGGAAGAGTTGTCTCTATTTGGATCCATATTCTAAATTCCCTTGCTTTCTTTTCTTCTATATCCTTTCTTGATTAATTATCCTGGATCATGGATATATCTTCAGCCAGTTTTCCTTGATTAGCTCTTCCTCTTATAAATATTCTTAATTCTATTCCATTAAAAATTTTTTTCCTAGGGCCGAGGATTTAGCTCAGCAGTTCGGTGCCCTGCCTTGCAAGCGCAAGGACCCGAGTTCAATCCCGGGTACCAAAAAAAAAAATTTTTTTCCTGGGCTGGGTATTTAGCTCAATGGTTCCACCACCTGCCTCACAAGTGCAAGGTCCCGACTTCAATCCCCAGCACCCCAAAAAAAGAAATTTTCTTGCCAGACACAATGATACACTTCTGTTGCTCTAGCTTCCTGAGAGGATACGGCAGGAAGATTGAAAGTTTGAGACCAGCCTGGGCAGCTTACTTAGACCATCTCAAAATAAATAATAAGAAAAAGCCTGGGGATGTGGCCTAGTAGTAGAGCACAGGTAGTAGTATTATACACAAGGCCCTGGATTAAATCTCCAATACCACAAAAAGAGAAAGAAAGAAGGGGGAGAAAGAAAGAAAGGAAGGAAGGAAGGAAGGAAGGAAGGAAGGAAGGAAGGAAGGAAGGAAGGAAAGGAAAGGACCAGTGGTTCTGCTGTCTCCTGCCACCTCCTTCACAAGCATAAGATCCTAAGTTCGATCCCTGGTACCAAAAAAAAAGAAAGAAAGAAAGAAATTGAGTTTTATAGACAGTGACGTATCTTTATAAAATGTTAGGTTGATTTATAAGTATTGCTCTGCATAGTTTGTTAACAGTAAGGAGTTATCTAAGTCTGAACAATGCACTTGGCAATCAGATGTCATGGTAGGAGAAAACCACAGCTGACATGCTACATAGGACAAAAACAACCAAAGAAGAGTGGTGGAAATGTAGGGATGGAAGTAGGGTTTATTAGAAGAGTAACAAATCCTTAGGACACTTAAGAAAGGAATATTCTACCTGGGATAAAAGACATTAGGATACAAAATTATAAGTTTTTTCCTCCAGCTCTGTCCCCGACTCCAAAAGCGAAA